CTCCTGTTTGCAAAGTGGCACCACAAGAGGGCCCTGTCACACAGTCAGAGTCACCAATGTCCACAACAGGAATCTTTATAAACAGCAGCTGCAGAGCAAAGATGAGAAACACTGCAATGTAACATAAGGTTGACTCAGCATTAATCCAGTACTGTGCTTTTAAAATACCTTTAATTTAAAAGCAGTGCATCTATTCTAATACATTCATACAACTTGGAAAGTGTCCAAGCTGAATTAGAGATTGGATTTTTGCTTTAATGGTTGGAACTTAAAAGTATTTTCATTATGTGAGTCCATTATGCAAGTGCATTTCATTTCAATTCTACCCTCCACAGTTAGCTTCTCACTCTCCCCAGCAGAAGTAAGATGGCTGCATGTCACTTTTAATGAGTTACTTATTTTGTGAGAGACTTTGCTTGAGCTCCTTAATCCTTCTGCTGCTTTACATTTCAGAGGGAAATATTGTACATTTATTTGAACGGCTGCTTTCTTTTGCAACATTGACCCATCACATTTTTTGTGACATTTTGGAGAGCTTCCCACCGACAGGTTGGGACTTTACTACACTACCTGTAACGTTATATAAAGTCATATATAATGTATCAGTCACAGGAATACTTTTTCAGTAGAACAAGTCCGTTTACATCTGATACTTATATTACTGATATTCTTCTGTACTTATATTTAAATCAGAGTTTGAATGCTGCACATTTACTTGTTGTCGTATTTGTTCTTCTACCTAAATAAAGGGTCTGAGTTCTTCTTCCACTACAGTTTGTTATTGGTGATGGTTTAAAGGATTATGCCAAGGGACTTTTTTCTTTACTTAAATCCTGGAGAAACAAGGTCAAACCAAACTTAATCTGGTAGTTTTATTCTCACTGTGACTCATAGTCTTGTTGTGCATTGTGCTAACCCATGAAACATTTCGTAGTATGATGCAGGTTTGGCTGAGTGTGTGCTCACTCTCAGGATGAAAAGTTTGCCTCTGTGTTTTCATTCTCCACCTCTCTGCTAACCACAGGAGCAGAGAGGTAATCACTGAATTACCCAGAAAGTATTTCACCCAGGAAGGAAACTCCCTGCTCTCCCGAAGAAAGTCAAAGTCCACTACAGCAGCTGTGTGTTTGTATGTGTTTATAAGACGTACAAAGGAAAGAGGGGGACTGAATCAATACACACACATTAGCCGACTCTCAAGTGGACCGCAGTTTCATAGTGATGGCAGCAGTTTATTTTAATAAAAACAATCCCCCACCTAGTCCTCGCTCACAGAAGATTATTTAATATTTCCTGCCCACATGAAAGAGATCAGAGAACTGCTGAAACGCGAACTATAGAGGAGAAGTAAGGATGACACATCCATGGATGACGCAAAAGGGAGGGGGAGGGACACACACACATACACAACTCACACACCATTAACCTTACTTGGAGAAAGAAGTTAACGGATCGACATACACACCCACTCACAGTTTGAGGTGATGTCATGGCTTCCTGGAGCTGCTGTTTCCCAGAGAGTGTGTAAGATGTAGTGTAATTGTTGGCCTGACACATACTCAGTACAGTACAAACGTATGATATCACACAGAGACTCAAAGGAAACACAAATCTACTCACACCACTCCCTTCCAATACACAATACTCTGTCATCCACTTCTCTGACCTGCCAATACTTTTTATGAAACAAATGAACTTCTGTCTTTCATTGTAACCCTGCACACTTAAAAAAGTGTAAAATAAAAACGTTTAATCTCACTTCAATGCTTCGTGCTGTGTGACTCAAAATATATTGCACATTTTCCCATTAATGCCACTACTGAGATCAAACATTTCTTTATCTTTATTCTCCACTGAAGGATGCTTTAGAAAAGTTGTCTTTTGACTTCTTAACTCTTTCCCCCATGATCATGTAAATCATTAATATATTATTATAACTGGATGAAAGACAGATCATGTGCTTCAAGTACAATTGTGTCAAAAACATTTTGTCTTCCTCATATGTTCCTGCATTATTAATGTTAATGTTTATATAAGCTAAATATAAATGTCTTTATGGACATTTTACATTTGGATTATGTGATACAGATAAAAAGAGCTTAATTTTAAATAACTAAACTCATAGGGTTTAACATCCCTAACAATAAGATACTCCATAGAGTGTGCAGGTTTATTTGTAAAGCACATTTGTACATTATTCCTGCATTTTTATTTACTTATTAGTATATTGTATGTTGCACTGCGGGGCCTGTGCCTTTAAGAAATGCATTGCCAACAACTAGCTTTTGTGCACATGACAATAAAACCTTTTAATTTTCAACAAGGGAATAGTAAGTGCTTTACATAAAACATCAAATGAATCCAAAACCAGAGGCAAGTCAATTATGTGATGAAGTGCAAGCCAGTAAAGATCTGAGAACATGAGTGAAGTGATTTTATGCTCTGAGTGAGGACTTAATCAGCGTTTAGTGTTACAGTAAGCCTAGAAAAGACTCATTAATGTTTTTATAATTCCTCACGAGACGTACGTCATGTCATTGTTGATATATCTTAGATCATAGTAGGCTTAATTTAATTGTCTTTGTTCTGGATTACAACATGTGAGTCCATAAATACACCAAGATTCAGGCTTGGTTTTTAGTCTGTAATGTTAGTGGAGGACTTTAGAGTACTTGTAATACTTGTTTAATATGAGTCATCATCATCACTGTCAAAGACCTGATGTTTAATATATAAATACATTTAAAACGTGATCTCATCCATTCTTGTCAAATGTTTCGGGCACTGACATAGATGCTTGGCATGTTGTTAAAAGTTGTTGTTAACTTTGTAAAACTGTCACTGACACTGGTTTGGTAAAGAAAAATACAATGGGACGACATGCACAACATCATGTGACTTGGTTAGGTAGTGTCACGTGACATAACATTGTCAGTGAGTGTGTCGTGGGGAAATCAGAGACACAAAGTAGGGCCAGGGGTCTTTTCTACGCACAGATTTCTGTGAGCCGAGGCTTTGTTCGTGCTGTTTTCAGGCACTCCTTCTGTACAAATATGCAATCTGACCTGACATTTGATAATCAGCCAATAACAAACGCTTTTGATCTGGCTCCCCACATCATTAAAAACAAACTGATGAATGTGAAACTGTATGATATCACTATCTTTCTCGATACTCCGGTTATTGTTCAGAAAGATGAAGGTCTTTGATATCAGCTATGTGAAATAACAGGAATGCTTGCTGAGAAGTAGGAGGAGGGAAGTGGACCAGAAAACTGATACCTGAATCATTTCCCCTGACAATGACAACGCTTTTGCGATGACCTTCAGCAAGGATGAGTTTGTTATATTATACTTGATACACTTTTGGTCCAGTTTTAATAAGGCCACAAACACGTTTATATTCCCATTTGTCTCCAAGTGTTTGTCTTTTGTAACAGGAAATGTCACCTAGTTTTACCCAATGAACTAATGAATAACTTGTTCCTTTTAACATTATCTAAAGAACTAGCTAAATTACCATACTGAAACCAACCATTCCTGCTGGTCTAATTTGGTATTACATTGCCTTCTGGGAATAGGACATAATGAAACTGGTCAAGTTAGTCATCTGCATCAGTGGGTGTATTACCTGGAAATTCGAGCCACTTTCCACACACTTCACGTCAAACACCGCACAGTTGTGCCAGGGAAATATAGTCTAGGTGGAGATTCAGAGGAGTGGTGGGTGTGGTTGTGCATGCACCACAGGACGGTATATCATTGTTACCCTGGCCTGCTGCAGCCCAAAACGTTATTCCCCTGAATTCAGACACTGTGGCTAAAAGTCCTTCAGACAAGTGACCTTTCTCCCTCCCACCCTCTCAGTCTCCACGCTCGATCTCACTTTCTCTCTCGTGGTCAGGCTGGCACTGAGCCGGAGAGCAGCGCTGTTGGCCTTGATAGAATTACATTTGCAAAGTGCACAGCAGCTGGCACCCAGGATGTGGGTGAGAAAATCAGGGACTCTCCAAAGACTCCATGGTGAGCGGGAAAGGCAGTGATGAGGAGAATAGATAACCAGGCTTCACAGGCATTTCACTTTCACATTTCAAGGACAAGTGAGTCAGTGTTTTGGAAATGTGGGTACCGTATCAGCTATACATCCGACATGGTTTCAATGTGAGGAATGCAGTGTTTAAAGAGAGATTTTACAATTTTATTTGACGCTTTATATTCTGTTAGTAAGGATTTATATGAAGTATTAAAGGTGGGGTAGGTAAGTTTGAGAAACCGGCTCGAGATACACTTTTTGTTATATTCCATGGAATGCTCTTAACATCCCGATAGCAATGAATATCTTAAGTGCTTTGACAAAAAATCCATAAAAAAATGTCATCTGTGGAAGCCGTAGTACTGTAAAAAGCACGACCAATCATTTTAGCCGGCCCGGCTAAAATAACTGGATGGCCTACCTGCCTGTCAGCCTTCCATCTGTGCACAAACTTATCTCGTGCCCTCATTGGTCATGTGCGCGTTCGTGTGTGTTGGAGGAGGGGCTCTGTAAGGAAGTGGCAGATTTTTTCCGGCTGTGTATTTTCAAATTCTAGCGCACTCGAGCTGGTTTCTCCAAAATTACCTACCCCACCTTTAAGTAAAGATTTGTATGTATTTATATATCAGATTGATTGATTGATAGCTATCCAGATTGATATTGGAAATCAGCAGCTTTCTCCAGCACATGTAGGAAATGTGTCTGAATTTCACCCAACAGCCCAAGTGACGGAGCCAGTCTCAGTAATTTACAAGCTAAAGACTGAATTAAATCGAGTTTGACGACAGGCGAGTGTTAGGTTTGGTCCCTGCTGCTTTCAAGTAGACACTGACTTGGAAGCAGCAGGGTGATGAAGACTAAATTGTTCCAAGTCAACTTTGTTTGAGTTCAGATCAGAGTCTGATCTGTCAGAGTGTGCATTAAGAGTTATGCGTTCAAGTTGGTACTGAGCAAGATAATGATCCTACCCCAAAAAAGAGAGTTCCTCTGGTCGTTTCAGTGGCAAAGTAGATCCGGGTTACAGGAAATTCTCACCATCTACTGGAACTGCTGGATCTTCTTAACTGGATTTTCTCACTGAGACCTGCATTTAAAAAAAGGCTTATTATCTCTTTCTGCCTTTCCCTACTATATTTCACTTCAAATTCATCATCCAAGTAAGCACTGACCAAATGCAAATACTTAACAAATGTAAAAGTATTTGTTACTCTCTTGTTCAACCAACCTTTAACCTTGACATTCTCAAAGGCTATTAGTATGATTGTGTTCTTACATTATGACATAATACAAATATCAGGCAGGATCATAGTACTTTAGTAGGTTTACTGTTGAAGCTTATCAAATGTTTTAACCATTTTCTGAAAAATCCCAATTCACACAAACTTCAAAAGCTTTCCCCAATATGATATTGTTTCATTTAAACCTTTGTGATTACATTTTACAAGTCACTGTCTTCCTTTTACTTCTCCATTTACCTTAACTAACCCTGTATATTTTAGCAACAGCAATGCAAAATGTCCTGTCAATCCCAGTAAGGGACTCAATTAGTCAACCTGTAGTGGTTAATAGCAAACATGAAAGCATTAACTTCAAAATAAAGTCAATAGTTTAATTGTTTTTAACTTTATTTTCTATGTTTGCCCTATTTCGTTCAGCTACACCGTGCCATGCTGTGTTGTATCAGAAACAAGATTTTATTGAGATTTTAATGTTTACCTAAATGTTTCTCCTAGTAAATTAATCAGATCCTAAAATAATTGAGTCATCTTGGAGATTTCTTACCGAATTTGAATTTCCATTGGTCTACACGGCTGTAAAGAAAAAACAAAAACATGGGTCACTGCGGTCCTGGGGTGATTGTTATGTGCTGACAGTCATGCTGGTGGTTGAATGAAGCGTAGGTTTCTGCAGGAAACTGTACGCGCATGTATGACCACTGGTTGTCATGATAAGAACCACGGGATTTCCATGGTTATGTCCACGACGCAGCAAACGGATGTTTTCTGAAATTCAAGTGAATTCCACTCTTCCATCCATGAAACCACAAAGGAGACATTGGATCCTGTTCGTTCCAACTCTATGATTTACATCTCAATTCAAACATCTAACAAATGAAGAAAAAAAATGGAAAAATGCCTCATAATGGCAGGCAGTGAAACATATGAAATATTTAACCTGGACCTCATCTTCAATAACTCTTCCATAGAGTGAAAGATGAAAGAGGAAGTTTGAAGTTGCATGAGTGTTTTTGCACAGTAGCCACAGGGTTTATGACTACTGCGGTATCACAATGGAAAAACACTTAAAGGGGGGGGGTTCTCTTTCTTGTCAACATCTCTGACGTTTTTATTGATATTTACAGATGATTCTGTAAAAAAACAAGGACAGAGGTCAGTGCCCAGAAGTCTCTCTTTGGCAGTCTCATGTTTAACGATTTACTCAATTACCTCCTATGACTGTGGTTATCCACAATTTAAATCCTTACAAGGATTTGGACTCAATTCGAACCAGAGCATATTTCAGATGAAATTCCAATCCATACAATATGATCCACATGAATTAGACATGATTCAAGATGAATAAATCCCAGACTGTGTTGTATTTACCATAATTTTGACAGTAAAGGAGCCAGGAACTACATCTGAACGAGTTGTTTTTGTTACGAGAAAATACATATTTTTGTTTGCTTTATTTGCTGAAGAAGTACCTACCTTGCAGTATGTAAAACGTTTTCTCTCTACATTTTTTCTCTCTATACTCACCGCTCTGCATTGAAGGTCAACAAATACATTATTCATGAAGAACAGATGCACATTTATTTCCAAAAAGACAAACAGCACAGCTACACGATGTGTATTAAGGAGAACAAATCTCACTTTATGGATCAGAAAACGTCCGCTGTTGTAGAATTCTCCACCTACATAAAAAAAACACCCATATTTTAAACAACGAGTTCAGATATGTTACTGTATTATGTTAAACATGGGAACTATTTCGAGTCGACCTGACTTGCAATATTCTGGTACCATAAATACTAACATGCACACCAAATAGGCAGATTGAAATCCCCAATAAATGTAGTATTTAAATTGAGGGGACATATGACTCAATCAAGGGGGGAAATAACTTTGAAATGATTGTCGGCCTCAGTCATTCATCTGTAATACTTGGAGAATAAGGATCAAAACCATATTTCCATTTACTGTAAATTGGTCATGAAAGGGAAATATAGAAACGGTATTGTTGCCATTGTGACATTTAAATTGTTGAAGTGGTTACAACTGAGACAATAGGACTCAGCATGTGACTGTCTGTACAAACAACTGTGTCGTACTATCACCTCAAAGAATTTCAGTTCTACATTGGGTTTCCATGGAGGACATTCTTTGACATAGCTAATATAAAAACATGAATACAGAAGCAATGAGGAACAGGAACAATGAATAAGAGGAACACAGACTGTTATTTTTGGACTCATAGTGAAATGTGTATTTCTGAGGGTAGAGTCAATTATAGTTGTATAGTCTATTTAAATAGCTTTTAACTTCCTCCAATTTTTGTGCAGTTGTCATTCGAAGCTTTTCTTGAACTGTGCTTGATACAAAAAAACAGAACTGTTCAGTGTGCTTGTGTTTGTAAATGCACTGTACGTGTGGGATGGAAATAATCTAAGGGGAAATGACGTTAAATGCCAGACCATGACATATTAGTATGAGAGGGGAACTTTAATTAACGGGAATTTAACCATGAAATAATGACGAAATGCACTTCTTTAGGAGAGGAAATTCTAAACATCTAAATATAATAATTGTGCGATTGTTAGGCTCCCACATACGGCATCTGACATTGAGTCAGACAAAAGGCAATAGCAATTTTACTTATATGGCATATTTGATCAAATGTAAACTCAATTAGCTTCAGATAACATTAGAATAGATTTCCAGATCATGAAGTATATTGTATCGTATATTGTATCGTATATCGTATATCGTATCGTATATCGTATGTTGTATCGTATAGTGTATATCGTATCGTATATTGTAGGGAAAATCGTACGTAATATCGTACAGAATATCATATAGTATATTGTACAGAATATTGTATGGTATATCCTATCTTATATCGTATCGTATCATAAATCGTATTGTATATCGTACAGAATATCGTATGGTATATCGTACATCGTATCTCATTGTATATCGTGTTGCATATCGTGTTGCATATCGTATTATATATATTATCGTATGGTATATAAAAGTAGGAATAAACGACAAAACCCAGCCAGCATAAAAATAAATAATATAAGAATACATTAGTATACAACCTACCGCACATAAGGAACCCAAAACATCAATATGATTACACACACACACACACACACACACACACACACACACACACACACACACACACACACACACACACACACACACACACACACACACACACACACACACACCACACACACACACACACACACACACACACACACACACACACGTCTGCGACAATAGATTCACACAAAAATAAGGAATAGGAAAAAAAAAGTATTTTCCCAAATTAAATTGTGGTATGGGTTTGGATCTGTGCATTGGGAATCCCCACTTGGCTCCCACATTACCTTTGACCCCTTTCTTGTCATCACATCAACTTAGAGGAAGACTGTGTGGCAGAAAAGAAAGTGGGAGATACGTCAGTGAATGAAATCGTTGAGATGAGTTGACTGTTAAAAGGGAGATTCGGAAAGCAAGTTGGGCAGGTGTTATAGAGGGGGAGTTGTGGTTCGAAAATGGACATGAAGTCAAAATGTGTTTGTGTTGGTGTGTGGTTGGATTGTGATGAGAGCAGACCAGCGTGATGGAAAGCGCAGCCAACTGCTAACACAAACACACCACAGGGAGAGAGAAAAGAGGGGGGAGGGCAGGAGGTTAAAAAAGGTGGGGGAGGAATGATCGAGAAGAAGAGTGTTTTGTGTCAGCTTTACCACGGTGACGGTTGTCATTAAGATGTTGACCAGTATTGACAGGCTCGAGGGAGTGTTTACACTTGAGTCCATTAAAGTTTACTCAGCGGAGAACAGATCCATATTTTGTCCTCTAGACCAGGGGTTCCCAAAGTGGGGGTTGCGACCCGAGACCCCGAGTGGGGGTCGCGAGATGATTACAAAATTAAAATTAAAAATGAAAAAAAATTAAAAAGAATGTTTATCAATTTTTTTTTAAATTATTATTAATAATAACGTGTGCATAGACATTTTTCAGGGGCGGACTGGCCATCTGTAGAATTCCCCGCAGCGAGGCTCCCCCGTTGACAATCCACTAGCGCAGTGTTTCTCAAACTTTTTCATACCAAGTACCACTTAACCAATAAAAAAACACTCACGGACCACCTAACTCCACAAATATCCACAAACAATAGGCCTGCTTACCACTCCAACAGTAGGCCTACATAACAGCCTAATAATGACAGCTTAACCTTCTCTATATCGCCTCGTTCACACATTAAATCAACAATACAAATACAACTACAGATTATGCATTTAGTTCAAATGCGATTTAAAATGCTCACGGGTTTTACACCTCTTATGAAATGTAGACTACATTTATTACGGAGTTTATGTCTAAGCCAACAGACTCACAGATCGTTGGCTACTGAGAGATATGCAAAATACACCGCATGTAGTAGGCTAGGCTACGACACAAACCTCCGCTGTGGATTTTCAAAACAAAATACAGTATAACTATGGTCGCAGGCCCAAGTTTAACTCTCTGAGGTCTAAGCCATTTTTTCACATGTTAGGCTCGCCTGGGCTTTTTTTGTAAAAATGCTATTAAAACATGAACCTTGGTGACCATCGGGCTGGCCTGCATGGTCTAAACAAAACGATTATGCAGCCCCAACAACAGCCTCTGATCATCAACAGACTTCATGCAATGCTTCATTAGATAATAATCTCTATCTCACTCCT